GTTAACACCGTTTCATATTGTAATTTTGGCAAAAAAGGTAAATTATAGATTTTGATCCATCTAGCTATTCATGCATCCGATCAGTTATCCATGCAGCTGCCCGTCGTCTATCTAGCCATCCTTCCAATTAGCCATCACTCCGTCCATTCAACAAGTGATTCATCCAATCAGCCATCCACCCATCAAGTCATTGATTCTTCAAGCGATCCACCCTTCTAGCTTTTCATCTATCTTGCCATCAATCCATACATCCAACAAGCCACGCATCGATCGAGTCACCGTACATCTGCCCATAAATTGATCCATCCAACCAGCCATCCATTCAATTTTCCATTCGTCCATCTAACCAGCTTTTTTTTCATCTAGCTATTTATCGAGTTAGCCATGCATCCATCCTGCCATCCATCCATCTAGCCTTCCATCTATCACTATAGCCCTCCGTCAATCCTGCTATTTTTTCATCCATCCAACGATCCAACCATTTCATCCATCAATCATCCGGTCGTCTATACACACATCCATTCAGTTCTCCATGAAGCTGTTTATCGCAAATCTAGCCATCCATCCATGCATACCCTCAGTCACCAATCCATGTAGTTGTCCATTGCCGATCTAGCCATCAGTCCAAATAATCATCTCTCCATCCATTCAACAAGCTATTTATTCGTCTTATCATCAATGCATTCAACCATCCATCCGTTCAACGAGCCATTCAGGCTCCTGGCTATCCATCCCCTCAGCCGTATCTCGATCTGGTCAATCATCCCACTGCCTTGTATTCAACAGCCTTCCCTACATCTAGTAATCCACCCAGCCATCAATCCATCTAGCCATCAGTCCATTTGCCTTTCAACCAGTCATATATCCAGCCATCAATCCATGTAGCTTTTCAACCAACCGTTCAACCATCCATCTATCCTCTCATCAATTCAGCTATCCGTACATCCAACCAGTCATTTTCGATGCATTCATTCAAGCCGTCCACCCTTTCGACCATCTAGCCATTCATGTGTCCATCCTGCCTTCAATCCATCCTTTCATCTATCCAGTCATCCTTACAACCAGCTAAACATCCATCCGATCTATTTTTCTGCTAAACATAAACACTGACTTTTTTCGCGAACAGCTTTAGCTGCAGGGGGCCTGCTAGTTGATTTGAAAAGGGTTTGATTGAGTTTAGTTTCAGAACAGGATTTTAGTTTTCTCAGCGAGACAAAAAAGTGCCTGTCAATCCAGTTTTCTCGTTATGGGTTAGTGTTAACAAAACGTATCAATCATAAAAGAATCTTTAAGTCTGAAGAACTTAGAGGTAATAGTATTTGTGTTTTTGAACTTGAACATTAAAAAGTAAATTCAGTAGTTTTTCTCCAAGAATTGACAGGGGCTTATCAATTTGTCTTCAAAATGTTTTTTTACTCAAGAAAAACCTGTTTTGAACTTTTGATTTTTTTTACGGGCGTGTTTTGTTTTTGCACCACAATCTGTTCCAATAAATAATCATCTGAATTGGTCTAAGGTCGATATGTAGATCTTGTTGAACAGCTTTTAGTCTTGATTCCAACAATAATAAAATTTTCACAAAATTGCCTGTGTCGTTATATGGATATTGACCAATTTCTTAAATACTTTTTTCTTTTTTTTCCATGCAAAATCAGGTAATTTAAATAATCATCGGAATTGCTCGAGTGATATATCATGATGCACTTTTAGTCGTGATTCGAACGACTTCAGAAAACTTTTTCAAAAAGTGTTCCGTGTGTCGAGAAAAACGCGTTGGAAGTTTTTGTGTCTTAATTTAATTTCGAGCGAATAAAACGACCGAGTATCTTAGAAAAAAATCTTTTCAGTATTAAAAAATTTAGTTCTGCTCCAGGAAAACTAGTTTTGCAAGCTTCATTCAGCGCTTCCGTGGCAATCAAAGAATTCTAAGAAATTTTTGCTGCAAACATCCCAACACGCAAATATCGACTTTTTTATTTTGAATGATTGGTCTGAACATTCTGTGCTACTTGCAGAGAAAACGGCTATCATCGTGTTTAATGTTTAAGATGTTAAGTAATCAGTCAATTTCGTTGGTGTTCGCTAAAAATTTCGGCCAAAATTTTGCCACCAACAAAAGCGGATTTCGAACCCATTTGTCTTGAGAAAATGTTCTACCTAGTGATGGATCAGGTAGATTAATTTCTCAAGACAAATGGGTCAGCTCGACATCAAATTTTATTAGCAAACATATCCTGTTTCCATTGTAGATGGTCATCTTCAGCCTAGTCTAATCGATCAGTTATCCATGCAGCTGCCCGTCGTCTATCTAGCCATCCTTCCAATTAGCCATCACTCCGTCCATTCAACAAGGGATTCATCCAATCAGCCATCCACCCATCAAGTCATTGATTCTTCAAGCGATCCACCCTTCTAGCTTTTCATCTATCTTGCCATCAATCCATACATCCAACAAGCCACGCATCGATCGAGTCACCGTACATCTGCTCATAAATTGATCCATCCAACCAGCCATCCATTCAATTTTCCATTCGTCCATCTAACCAGCTTTTTTTTCATCTAGCTATTTATCGAGTTAGCCATGCATCCATCCTGCCATCCATCCATCTAGCCTTCCATCTATCACTATAGCCCTCCGTCAATCCTGCTATTTTTCATCCATCCAACGATCCAACCATTTCATCCATCAATCATCCGGTCGTCTATACACACATCCATTCAGTTCTCCATGAAGCTCTTTATCATAAATCTAGCCATCCATCCATGCATACCCTCAGTCACCAATCCATGTAGTTGTCCACTGCCGATCTAGCCATCAGTCCAAATAATCATCTCTCCATCCATTCAACAAGCTATTTATTCATCTTATCATCAATGCATTCAACCATCCATCCGTTCAACGAGCCATTCAGGCTCCTGGCTATCCATCCCCTCAGCCGTATCTCGATCTGGTCAATCATCCCACTGCCTTGTATTCAACAGCCTTCCCTACATCTAGTAATCCACCCAGCCATCAATCCATCTAGCCATCAGTCCATTTGCCTTTCAACCAGTCATATATCCAGCCATCAATCCTTGTAGCTTTTCAACCAACCGTTCAACCATCCATCTATCCTCTCATCAATTCAGCTATCCGTACGTCCAACCAGTCATTTTCGATGCATTCATTCAAGCCGTCCACCCTTTCGACCATCTAGCCATTCATGTGTCCATCCTGCCTTCAATCCATCCTTTCATCTATCCAGCCATCCTTACAACCAGTTAAACATCCATCCGATCTATTTTTCTGCTAAACATAAACACTGACTTTTTTCGCGAACAGCTTTAGCTGCAGGGGGCTTGCTAGTTGATTTGAAAAGGGTTTGATTGAGTTTAGTTTCAGAACAGGATTTTAGTTTTCTCAGCGAGACAAAAAAGTGCCTGTCAATCCAGTTTTCTCGTTATGGGTTAGTGTTAACAAAACGTATCAATCATAAAAGAATCTTTAAGTCTGAAGAACTTAGAGGTAATAGTATTTGTGTTTTTGAACTTGAACATTAAAAAGTAAATTCAGTAGTTTTTCTCCAAGAATTGACAGGGGCTTTTCAATTTGTCTTCAAAATGTTTTTTTACTCAAGAAAAACCTGTTTTGAACTTTTGATTTTTTTTGCGGGCGTGTTTTGTTTTTGCACCACAATCTGTTCCAATAAATAATCATCTGAATTGGTCTAAGGTCGATATGTAGATCTTGTTGAACACCTTTTAGTCTTGATTCCAACAACATAATAAAATTTTCTCAAAATTGCCCGTGTCGTTATATGGATATTGACCAATTTCTTAGATACTTTTTTCTTTTTGTTTTCCATGCAAAATCAGGTACTTTAAATAATCATCGGAATTGCTCGAGTGATATATCATGATGCACTTTTAGTCGTGATTCGAACGACTTCAGAAAACTTTTTCAAAAAGTGTTCCGTGTGTCGAGAAAAACGCGTTGGAAGTTTTTGTGTCTTAATTTAATTTCGAGCGAATAAAACGACCGAGTATCTTAGAAAAAATTCTTTTCAGTATTAAAAAATTTAGTTCTGCTCCAGGAAAACTAGTTTTGGAAGCTTCATTCAGCGCTTCCGTGGCAATCAAAGAATTCTAAGAAATTTTTGCTGCAAACATCCCAACACGCAAATATCGACTTTTATATTTTGAATGATTGGTCTGAACATTCTGTGCTACTTGCAGAGAAACCGGCTATCATCGTGTTTAATGTTTAAGATGTTAAGTAATCAGTCAATTTCTTTGGTGTTCGCTAAAAATTTCGGCCAAAATTTTGCCACCAACAAAAGCGGATTTCGAACCCATTTGTCTTGAGAAAATGTTCTACCTAGTGATGGATCAGGTAGATTTTTTTCTCAAGACAAATGGGTCAGCTCGACATCAAATTTTATTAGCAAACATATCCTGTTTCCATTGTAGATGGTCATCTTCAGCCTAGTCTAATCGATTTTAATGCTTAGCAAATATTCTTCTGAACAGTATTCAATAATATCAACTTTAAAGAAAATTTGAATCTTTCTGATCCTGGCTAAACACACAATCAGGTTTATCTTTAAATCAATATCGAGATCTGACAATTATCTGTGTACCTGAAACGTCTCGTTTGAGGTTTTACGACATTTTCTTGATGTTTTTGTCGTAATTCTGGGATAAATGATTCAAAAAGGATGTGAAATAACTGTAAAATTTATCGTCAATTGTAAACTATCGTCTCTTATATTTGGTTGTAATTCCTAAATTGCACCTGCTAAGTATAAAATTTTCACGCTTTAGTCTGTAAAAAATAGCAGTCGTTGGAATTTTAAATCAATTTTGACAAAGCCTGATTTTTATCTATTTGCCTACCCGTACTATTTTTTAAATACAAATAGACACTTTTTAGCCAATGAGCTTTGAGCATTTACTGACTTCAATATTCGCTTATTTTGAAAGGACTCTTTATTTAAATATGATTTGTAGAATATATTTTGAGTAATAAACGAACATTTGTCTTCGATAAATAAGCGTCCATGAGATTAAAATCTTAAAAAGTTACCAATTCATTGAATCAACTTCATTTGGCAGGTCTTTTTTATTTACTAACATAGTTATTCAGCCTTAACAGCGAATAAATTGCAAAAACTTGATTTTTTCATGCTTTATTAGTCTTGAAAGCTTCGATACTTGAAAAAAATTCTTCTTAAAATTTCTGTTGGTCAATGAATGACTTCTGATTGAGAAACTTTGGTCTGCATAACCAATTTGTGAAAACCTTCGTTTCTTAGAAAACTTTATATCAACAGAAATGGATCTGAGAAATCTTTCGATTCTTGTGACCCTTTTTTACGGTCTTTTCACCTTGGCAAACTGTGGTAAGTGTCTTCACCCTTTCTTATCGAGCGGAAAAGTAAAGCTGATTCTGACTTAAAGATTAAATTTCTCAATCTATACTACCATGTTGAAATCTATTTTTCAATCTATACTACCAATTGAAATTAAAAAACCAGCAAAAATTTTTTTTGAATTCTTCATTTTGTTACAAAATTGAACTCGTATTCAGATCTTTCTCAACAGAAATTAAAATCGATGAGAATTTTTAAAAGAATCATGTCATTGCTCTTTTTTTTCGAAAAAAGTATGCTCTATTGTTTTTCATGCTCTTGTTAAATAAAATTTAACAAGATTTTTGGAAATTTGTAAAAACAATTTTTCTACCGAAATCTAATTTCAAAATTGAGAAAAGAAATCTGCATCAATCCATTTGGTTGGATCAATTTTTGTCCATAATTTTGTACGCAGTTTTGTTTTTCAATTATTTTTTTTTACAGAAGAGGGTCTCGAACCAAAACGGGATTCGAACCATGTTGCAGTTGCAGTTGCACTTTATTCATTTAGCCCAAGATGGAACCATGTAACTTTGTTTTAGCCCAAGAATATCTATGGAACAGCAGGAGTGATGGGTTCGAGTCCAAACAATTCACTGGACATTTCACCTTCAACCAGGTCAGATACAAAAAGCACATTTTTGTTACTTGGAAAGTGTTTCAATTGATTTTGAATCGTTCCGTTCAACAAATAGACAAAAGGGTTTTTGGTCAGTTTTATTCAGACAGTTTTTCAGGGATAGGACTCAATAGTTGGAGATACAAAAGCCAAAACTGGATTTTAAAATACTGTCGGTCAAAAGGAGTTTTATGCTCGATCTCTTATTACATATTTATTGGAATATTTCAATTTTTTTTAAACCGATTCGTCCAAAAACTTATTTTTTTCTTGGAATATTTGAGTATTTTGCACTAATTTGTGGAATTTGTTTTTGCTTGAAAACTTGATTACAATCATTTTGAACTGTTTAACATGAGCTACTGGGCTGTTTTTCAGTGTAGTAATTATGCATGGTTGTTAGTATGAAATTCAATTCATATGGGTTGTTGTTTTGCAGTGGGAGCAGGTGTATGGCAGTTCTGGTGCAAGTGGACAACAACAACCCTCTTCGATTGGTGGTGAGACATTCGCAGTGTGCAACGACGACAGACTCAACAAAATCGGAAGTGACGACTCAGTCAGTAGTAGCGGAAGTGGAGGGGCAAGTGAGCCTCCTGTGATGAACTACCTCACTTCTCCCAGAATCCAAGTGCCGGAGGGGGCATCTTTCGTACAACTCAACTACAGGTAAGACCTCTTTTGATTGCTAATGCCAAATTGGGGTCTTTTTGTAATACGGCCAAGTTATCAAACTTGTCATCTTGTTATCAACTTGTTTGTGTTGAAAACATCGAGATTTTTTTTCTACTTTCGATTATAGTTTCAACCAATCAGATTCGAGCGTCATCATCAAACTTTCACTATAGCAAAAAAAAATAGTTTTTGGGCCGTATAACAGAAATGAACCCCAAATTGTTGGCAATATCTTCTTTGGTCAACGAAAATTAACTAAAATGCTCATTTTGAGTACGAATATGATTTTTTCTTTCATTTTAACATGCAAGCACCGGGTCAAAAAATATTCAGTAAAATCACCATTTTGTGACCGGTTAAGTTGCTCAAGGACAACGTTATTGCCAACGTTTTGACGTTTACTACAATTAACCATTCGCTTCGCCTAACCAATTTTTTCCCTAAGTCTCAAGGCCGAGGTTTAACGTCAATCATTTGTTTCAAATTTATTTCAGCTCCAAAGTTCAATTATGTCTTTTTTGAAGTTTCATGAGATTTATGTATACAAATATATTTTTCAATTTTCTGACGTCTATGAAGATTTGTGCGACGCTACTGGATACCTTTTTGGTGACAAACATTTTTGTTATTTTTTAAAGAAATTGTAGAAAGAGGAATAATAAAAGTTATTTGGGCTGGTTGAAATTTCTGTAGAAGTTTTCCTTTTTCTTTAAGGAACTTTGTTTTCCTTCTTTTTAGTTCAACTGGTGTAAAATTACATGTGTATTTTAATTCTGCAGACTGTTTTTGTTTTGAGGTAGTCCCTAAATTCTTGCTGGGTGCTTAATTCCCAAATTGAATTTCTGTCCGGATGGATTTTGGCCAGCGAGTCAAATATTTTTGTTTCATTGTTTTGTCAATTACGCCAACTGTTCAGCTGCGAAAGTGCATTAAGCGGAAAATTGAGGCGCCAAAATTACTAATTTATAAATTATAACCCGGTTTATTTCAGTTACTCGAACTTTTATGGCTAGGTTGGCCGATCAGCCTTGAAAACATGAGTAGAAAGTTGCAACTATGCTGAGTTTTGTTAGTTTATTTCAACCATTAGTTGTAAAAGGGGCTTATCCCAAAATACTTGGGTGTTTAATTAGCGAGTGAATGTCAGGAAAGAAAATGTATTTAGCCTGAATTAGTCTGATAAGCGGCGCTTAATTAGTGAAAAAATGTGACTGTTTAATTTCCTCTCAGTCTCGTAATCTGTTAAGTTGATGAAAAATCCAACGTTAATCACGGAACTCTTATTTTTTTGCAGATAAGGTTTAATGATGGAAAAACGTGTTTAAAAGTGTTATCATGTTTCGTTGAGTGAAAACGGCGCCTTGTGCCTTGTTATAAAAATGATTATTGACGTCAAGTTTTTTATCATGAATTGGTTACGTTTTTTAATGCTAGCATTTTGCTCTCATTTTTTGGGTGACATTATTATTGCAAGATTTTAAGTCCAGGGGTAACGCATTTTCTATTACTGACTATTGCTAATTACTAGACCAGAATTTTTTAATGATCCAGAATTTTTAATGATCAATATCAATGTGATCAATATCAATATCAATGATCAGTATGAGCAAAAAATGGTTCTAAAATTAACTTTTGTGTTATAGCATGGATATCGAAAACTCGCAAAGTCGACCCAATTCTCTCAAAGTTCTCAAATTCGAGACTTCGAACTACCTCAAATCGGAAGTGAGTCTTAAAGAGTACCAAGAATTCGCATACGTCAACGGCGAGTATTTCGACATGCTTGATGGTACTGCAATCTTGACTGTACCTGTTTCAAATTCCTTCATTTTTCTCGCTTTTTTCGACACCGGATATTGTGGATCAGTTACTATACACTCAATTCACACGAATGTTTGTCCAGAACAGCAATTTGGATCTATAGTTATGCCGAAAACTTACTCAGAACTGTCGAAAAAGAGAATAGCTCTTGATTTCGATACTGTAACCTGCGCTAAGGAATCGCAAGTTTCAAATTTCGAACAACAAATTGTGAAGTTTTGTCGGTTTGATGGAGTGTGGGAGAAACGAACACCCGCCGAACGAGATGACATGTTTTGTGTTTGCCTACCAGGTTTCTACGGCATGAAAAAAGATGGAAAAACCGTTTGTTCAGGTAAACCATTTTGTGTTCACTATTTTTATTTGTTCATATTTTTTTTAGCTTTGTGTAAAATTTGTTCTTAATAGAAGAGTTACTCTAAGTACTAACATTTCAAGCTAAGGATTAAATTGGTAACTATAACTGGTCTCTATATTTCAAAGATCTTTTCTTTATATTGAAATAGAGCCTGTTTTTTTTTCTCAAGGACGATTTTTTATGCAGTCTTTTAATTTCGATGCAATTTCGAACTGGCAATTTAGCTGGTTATGATAAGAGGCGAGCCTTTTATCGGCCCCACAGTTAGCTATGCCTTGATGTAGCTCTGAGTTTAAAAATACATTGTTCTCTTGATGACCGGATAAAGGGGAAGCACCCCCGAGCTCCTTAGTGCTCTTCTTTTGGACCCATACTCGAAATATACGTGTCAATTACTAACCCCAAAGCAGCGCTATAAGAACCCCCATTGAAAATTTGGAGTATTGTTCCGTAAATTGATTATAGCGCAATCACTTCAAAGTACTAAAATTTTCTGTTTGGAAAAGAAATCCTCGATCAAAGAATAGGTAAAATTTCAATAACACTCTGAACATTCGAGTTAAAACCGTCGTCTTGATTCGTTATAACCAGGCATCTAATTTTATACATTGAATATTAATTACGATTTTCTGCTTTCTATAAAGTTTCTCAGGTGGACAATATGAGGCAATCAATTTGTGTAAATGTAATTTTTATAACGCTCACTACCGGAATTTTTTGCCAATTTCGGCGACATGTTTATTTCTGAGCCCGATTTGAGGCATGTGTAACATATTTACAGGCGCCATAAAGACATAATGACAGCGTGATAGCGATTTTGGTCGCAATTAATTGTTAATGAGTATCGTTTTCACATTTTTATACAGTTTACAATATCAATTCTTGTTGCTTTTTCAGGCTGCGCTGCGGGTGAAATCAAAAATGAACCGGGAAATTCCTTCTGCAGAAAATGTCCCCAGAATTCAAAGCCCAATAGTGAACAGACTTTTTGTTCATGCAATTCGGGTTACTTCAGATCGAATGCGTCGAACCCTTACTACCCCTGCTACGCAGCACCTAGCCTACCGCTGTTAGTTGTTCAATAGATTCAGTCAAATCTATTTAGAAATCGCATTATGCATTGTAGCTTTATGCTATCCGAAATCGTCCATGTCTAAAAAGATTTCTATCATGTTTGGATTTTCAAAATAAGGAACATTAGATCAAAATAAATTACTGACAAGTTCTCAATTGATTGACTAGATTTCAACAAAACGTAGAATTTTTGATATCAAATTCACGAAAAAAAAAATTACGAGAGGGATTCGAATCCAGTTTTTTGTTTTCAGGAGCGTCAAAGCACAAGTCACTTTCACGGACGTCGAACTAAGTTGGACGGAACCAATGACTTCTCTTTCGCAGTGGTATGCAATCAAGTGCCTTTCATGTTCAATTCAGGAATCCCAGATGTTTGAGGCCTTCTCGACCATCCGAGATAATCCAGTGATGATTCAGAACTTGAAGCCAGAAACGGAATACAAGTTGCGCCTCGAAGTTTTCTCCGAAATAGTGGAAGCAAATCAACTACGAGTCCAAAGCAAACGAATCGATTTTAAAACGTCGTTTAAACGTTAGTCATTTTATTTTATTTTTTTTTCACGTGAAGATAACGTTTCCCACTATTTTGCAATTAAGTTGTGTGTGAATGTTTATAGATCAATTGGCAGCGTATGGTTAAGTGCGCAAGATATTATTCTGTTTCAAGGGATACATTTATTTTTGATGCTTCAACACACGTGAAGTTCAAACGGAACAGCTGACGATAATTGTTTGGAATAATTTTTTCAGTCATCTTTCATGACAATGAAAAACTGAGCAAAAAATTCACTTCATTTCAAAATGTTTTGGCGTAGCAAAAAATCTACATTTTGATGTTTTCAAGTTTCTTTTTTTTTGAGTATTTTTTTTCAAACCCTGGATAAGTTCTGTCATAAAGTAGTTTTCCTCGAGTGTTTGGCTATTTGATTGTAAATGGAAGTCCAAATCTCTCATATGGTGGTCTTATTTATGATAATTTCTGGGAATTTTTTGTTGTTTTTGTGCGAAGAGTCAAAATGGTCTGTTTTATATAAAAGAAGCTCTAAATATTTGCCATACGTCCCGCAGCTCAGTAGCTTTGCATGCTTACTTTGGAAGATTTCAGCGCTTTTACGATTTAGTTCACGCAGCGCTGCGAACATTCGGAATGGAGCTTCTCCTATGAACCCAACGGGAGTTTAATTCAAATCGTACTCTCAAAGCAACAAGACTCTATAAAACGGAGGGGTCGGATCATAAAGTTTATTAATGCATTTTAGTTATGGCTCCAATATAAACTTCTTAAAATACCATCAAAATATCAATCACTGGAAACTATTCCCTATAGACCTAAGGTCTTGATAATCTTGTTATTATGGCTTGATTCGAATCATAGTTTGTATATTTGTCATTTTTATACTTTCATTTATGCCTGGCGTATGGTGCCGCTAGTGAGGATAGATATATCTTTCAGGGAATTTAGATTAATTTTGATTTCATTCAAGTTCCTCAGCAATAAACTGTTAGTCATTAAACCAACTTTGAAAAAGTCGCCTTAAAATGTCGAAACTGTCCTTAGTGGATTTAGTACTTTAGGAAGCATTTCAAGTATTTCTCCGGGCAACAAGTGTTTATTTTGGGTTTGTGGGTAAATAAGCAAACATGTTTGACAAATGTTTACGAAGAGTTTCGTTTCTTCTGACAGTTAAGACACTTTGTAAACTTGGTTTAAGTAGTTAACCAACATTTCGTGGGTCAAAATCGACATTTCCTTGGCAAGACATAAATCCACATGTCAAAAGTGTACTTTTATCTCCCCCAGCGATAATTGTACAAACTTTTCCTGCTCAACTGTCCCAAAATATTGCAGCACGCCTTGCAAGTCGACCGAAGTTTGAGCCCAGAATAAGTCCCTTATCACCTGTGGCGAAATTGGTATAAACAAATTGTCAAAACACGGACATTAAACAAAAGTTAAATTTGCAAAAAAAAACTTTCAGCGAGATTCAGAAGCTACAGCTTGGTCAGAAACGTTAATGTTTTTAAAAGAGGACTTTACGTAGAAATTTTGTTTTTCTGTTTTTTTTTTACATTGCAAAAGCTATTCTTCAATCACGCTTAGATTTACTAAAATCTGACAGCATTTCCCCATATTATTTTTATCGCCATTTTCTGAAAATTTCGCTATGCGTGTTGTTGATTGCTGGCTATTAAAATAGGTAATTTATTGACTTGGTTGGTCACTTTTATCGAGCGATTTTTTTTGTCAAAAATAAAATTAAAAATGGAAATTAAATGTTTTTTTTTGAAGACATCGCTTTCATGTTCTTATTTTTGAGGTTTTATTGTGTAAAATATTGAATTGCAATTGCGATTTGTAGTTCTGTAAGAGCCGAGGTAGCTTTGGCTGCTTGAGCCTATTGAGTTCACTTGATTGAAGAGCCCCAGTTCAAGACCTATGAGTTGGAATATGAGGAAAGCTGGTTTATATTAGCTGTAACTTCAAAATAATTCCAGTGCTCTCAATCAATATCTCTGCGAGAGGTGCTCGGCGGAAGATGAAAGACTAAAGAGAGAGTGGTGTCCCTGCTATCTGCGGGAGCTAATGTCATTTCATCTCTAGTTCTGCAATTTTAACTTGCTATCAGTAACTTCATTTAAAACAAACGCCAACTGGAATTCATCCGCAATATGAACCCTGAATCAAGAGCGGGCTAATTTTGAGATGAATTTTGTGTACTTATATTTTAACTATATAAATATTTGCAATAAGGTAAAATTTATGATTCTGAAATTGTTCAAAGGACTTTTTTAATGCGCCAATCCGGAAGCATACATTTTTTAGAGAAAACTGAAGAGGTTTCATTTTGATCGATATGTCGAATAGTTTTCACCATTTAAGCATGCTCTTTTTGTTAAAAAACGAGTTTAGGGATCTATTAATTGGAATGATTTCAGTAAAAAAAAACATTTTTTGCTTACAAGCTTTTCGCTCCAACACTAAATCTGCGTCTTAGAGTTTTTCTTTTGAAATTATTTGCATGCACTTTTGGCGTGCCAGCTAGAGTGCGTAATTTTTCACGTTCTTCCGGATCGATTTTAGAGGAATTCTTAATTTAAAGGACGCCCTGTGCAGAGCTCAATTCAGACCTTGTCATTATTTAATTGAATTAGCCCGAAACTTCTCATCCATAACGCAATTTGACTAAATTGAATTAGAATACAAATATCAGCCACAAATTTGCCCGTAGAATCCCAATTAAGCCAGATAACTTCAGTTGACTACAGCGGGGTGGGTTTATCCACATAGTCTTCACTTTGAGTGATTTTCGTTAAAGGTATTTTTGATTTGTAGGGCGTGAATGTGAACTCTTTTTACCCACGGCAAGCGATCTATTTTTTTCAGCTTCTCGAGTTCCATTTTTTAAAAAATTTTTGAATACTTCCTTTGTTTTTTCTTTCTTCTTTCTTGGCCCTTTAAATTTATATTCCCACTACAAATCAGGCTGCCTCTTTTTAAGATAGTTGTAGGACGATATTATACTTCCCCTGAGGGCTATTTCTCTATGATATTTCTTTCTTATCATGATGAATATATACGATTATTACGATATATCAAGTACAAAGTGATCAAATTTGTCCAATTGTTGTTCACGAACAGCCTTGGCGCTTCTTGGGCTGACCTGAATTTTTCCAGGCTAGATTTTTGCCACGCCTCAAAAAAAATTTAGGGCAGACTTTTTGAGGACTGTAAATTGAATCACAAAGCCCACTTAACAAAAGACTTGTGCTTTTTTTGTTTTCTGAGCATTCGATACAAAAAGGGCAAAAAGAACTTCGATGGATTTTGCAAAACTAGCTGTCACTATTAAAAATAATGATATCTTTTTTTAATTTTACGATAAACCGCTGCTCAAAAAAATCGTTTAAGTTGCCCCAACTTGAAGATATTATTCGTCTGCTGTTGTTCAATTTTTCATTGTGAAGTTTTTTGATTTTTGGCAAAAAAAATCATTTTACTGAATTTCTGCAATTTTTTTGTGCTAAAATATGAGGCTCGCTAATTAAACCAATTCAACTTTTGAGCACTGTTAAAACGTAGTGTGATGCTGCTAATAAATATAAACATTTGCTGCTAAGCTTAATTGGAGCTGCTCGTTCAATCAATCTATCTTTTCTGGCATTTTTTTTCAATCGCTCTCTTTAAATGCTTCACTGTCAGTTGAACAACTTAGCACGTTAAGTTATTGCATTATTTGAGAAAAGTTTTGTGGTTTTTGCGTGGTAGAATTTGGATTTTTATGTCTTTTCAAGCATTTGTTATACGTTTACTTCTAGTGAACGATGCCCTGCAATCATGGTTTGTAATTGACGAAGATGAATTAAGTAATTGAGTAGTTTTTGTGTCAGCTCTACAACAATGTTAAATCTGATATTTGGTGCAAAAACATCAGTTTTTGAAGTTATACCGAAGCTTGTGGCGTTCGTTTATGTGCTAAGGTAAACTTAACGTATAACTATGCGGTATCTCATAACTATCAGCGTAGCAAGTAAGTTAATAAAGAATCAAAAAAATTACATCAAGCATGTTTGGTTTCCAGTCGAAAGATCAAACGTCCTGATGATTTTGGTAAATAACAAGCGGTGACCTTAAACTTTGCTTACTTGTCGAAATGCGTAAAAAGTCGGCATTTGCGTAAAAGTTGACATCAAAGTGAACAGTTCCATGAAATCGGCCCAGTTTTGTGGTCCTAAACAGTTTTGATGTTGTGATTAGAAGAGTTCATTGTGTATCTGGCATAACAGCCCTCGTATTGTGGAGGTTCATATGTTTTGGCTGGTGCTTAGTTTTTCACTGGATACAACACACTCAGATTTTGGGCGAAAATTCGTAATATGTGACAAATGTGAAAAAAAATAAGGAGTTGGCAAGAAGCGAACGCTTTCTCCTGTACGCTTACATTCGGCACGAGTGGTTTTAGTACACTGCGCTTGAATCCGTATTTGGCTTTTCATCTTCTGTCACGAATTGTCGTTTCGTGACACTCATAGATAAGGTCGGACGACATCTCAACCCAGAACTATGTTTCGATTCTGTTATAATATTTCTGTTATAATAAAAATGAACAATACTTAGACTGTCTAGATAACCAATCATGAATCCTCTGCGAATCGCAGAGACCACCAATTGTTATTGTAATATTTTCTTGTGATTTCAGTGAGTGTAGTTGAACCCTCTGTGAGTGTGATAGACAATCGACTTAAAGTGTCGTGGAAAGAACCTCTTCGGGTCCACCAGCAGACAGGTGTGAACAAACTGCGATACAAAGTTGAGGTCATGATCGATCACGAAAGGGCATTCAGCAGTCCAGAATTGGAACAGACCAGTTTCTCCTACCCTTGTAAGTCATCACAAGTCTCATTAGCTTCTCATGAAAAATACAAAATCATTTTTTGAGCTGAATTTTACTACCCGTTTTTAAGTGTCGATGATTGTGGTGAACGAACTTACACATATCGTGTTGGTTGTTCTACCGTTTTTTTGTCTGGAAAGTTTTCAAAAGTTGTTCACGCTTAAATTTGGATTTTTGCAGTTTGATGTTTCTTAAGTGCAATTCAAATTCATTTGCTAAAAGGTGGGCAAGTTACACTCTGCATTAACAACAAGGAAATGGCGCAAAAATTGTGAATAATTTCTACTTTCGAAAATTGATTTTAATTTTTAGAATTCCCAATGGAATAAAGAAACTATCCTACTGATCCAGTTTTCTCAAAATAATTTAGTTTTATCTCAACACAGTCAGTCAAAAAAGATTCTTGATTTTCAAAGAGCTTCAGAGCCAGATATATTTTCCTTGAAATTTTTTTAAAAGTAAATAGTCGTCTTTGTTGTTTTCTTCATTGACACTTTTCGTTTGGAGTTCATTGACACTTTTCAACAGTCTGTTGGCTTTGTGCATCATACTCAGGAGTTTTTGTTCTTTGATTTGTACCATAAAACAATTCCTAGGCGTTTGATATGGCGCTCAGGACTTAGTCACAAAGTTATTCATTGATAGAAAGATCTGTTGATATAGAGCCGATATGTTTTTTGTTTACTGGAGCGAAAAAGATAACTCGAAACCCTGATCGTTTACTTTCACCTGAATGGGTAGGGGGGGGGGGGGTAAATATAGGCGCATTAACTTGATTACTTTACCCTCCCTGTTTGTTGTCCAAAGATGACCCAAGCAAGTGTCTAAACAAACAACTGCCAATTTTGAGTTGAGGAAAGTCAAAATGAATTTACAAACATGCTTCTTTAGAAGTGGTTGTAAAGTTCGCAGATTCTTCAACTGCGATTCTCGATAGAAGAGATTGATTCTAATTGAATTAGGACCTTAGCGGCATCCTTCGGCTGTAAATTATAAGGCTACGCAATATGCGTGATGTTGAAATATGCTCTCTTTAATCAAATTCTATTTACAATTTTAGCATAAGGGCTCCTTCTCAAATAAGCTCCCTTCATATAAATTTAAAGATGATGCTAAACTTAAGTCTGTTAAAACTCTAGAGAATTGTTTTACAACATTTTATGCGAAGCCAATTTTTTCCCCTCCAGCAAAGCGGAAAAGTTATTTTTTAAATTCACTAAAAAATGTGGAAAAAATGTAAGCCTCATTGATATTTCGCCCCTTTCCTGGGTTAATAACGCCTAATACACAAGCTTGCAGTTATAAATTAGTTATAAATTTTCATAAAACACCTCTGAGGTTTGGATTTACGACAAATGTGAATTAAATTTAAGGCGTTAACATGGAAGTTGGGTTATTAATAAAAATCTATAAAGAGAAGGGAGGTGTTTATGGTTGGAAATAACGGTTAGGCCGATATTTAAAATCCCGAGACATTTTGAACTACGGATGCACCATTTTTGATTCAATTAAATTGAAAATATCAAATTAATAAAAGCCAATTTTTAGAACTTTTTTGGCTTTGATTTAATAAAAATAAACACGTTTTATTTCGCGCGACCGATTGATTCAGTTCTAGATTTATAATCCGAGGTCTTTTATTTTTTGACAGCTGTTAAATGAAGCGATTTTTGTTGCTCTATTTTTGGCATCAGTCGATTTTTTTCTTTGTGTTCAAATTTTATACACCTATTTTTATGATCACCTTTGATGATATTTTGATGGCTCATTTTGGAAGCGAAAATTTGCTTTAAACGTGCAACCAAATGCCAGAATTGTAGGAGCTCTTGGTAACACTTAGCGGCCGATCTAGGATTTTTCTCACGGGGGGGGCCGATTTTCAAACATTTTTTCGAATATTTTGTTGACCTTTTTAATTTTTTTTAGTCGGCCAAATTGATTTTAAAAAGGCCAAAACAGACCAAAAACGGCACAAAATAGGCACTTTTTGAACAGTTTTGACCGAAAAATTGTGTTTTTTTTTGCGCGCGCTCCCTCCTTAAAAATAGTATATATTGGCGCAAAAATAGTGGAAGTAGTATACATATTTGCCCCTCAAAAAAGTATATATTTGCCCCTCAAAAAAATGGAGGTCTTAAAATGGAAGCAAAGGGCGAACCCTTTGGGTATTCAGGGAGTCTAATACCTGAGGGGAGGGGGAGGAGGGCGTCCACCTACAACAACCCCCTCCCCCCAAATCCGCTACTGGTGACAGTATATGTTGATCCAATATTTCGGATCAACATATACTGTCGGATCAACATATCAACATTTGGCCGAGTAAGCATTTTTTGCTAAAGCGTTTTGGCCCGAATTTGAAAAATAAGACGAGAAATGTTATATTGGTATTTTGAATCAGTTGTTTTTTCTATTGTAGAATATTGCATATTTTGTGTTTCAGTGCCTGTGATGTCTATTGCTCCGTCTGATAATGTGCCCCTGTCAATCAAAATAGGCATTGTGAGCAACGGGTCCGTCTACTGGGGAGACGAGATATTCGCATCAACTGTCGGAAGTAAGTTGAAGGAAACACCACGTCTGATATGTATTTCTGTCTTCTTTTCAACCCCATTAACAGAATCTAGCTTTAATTAAATGTTCTTAATTAGCAATACTACGTTTTTTAGACCCAATTACTTCTAGCAATAGAAATTGTTTTGGTGATAAGTAAATTTGAGTTTTAACCAGTAGAACCGTTTTGAGGGAACCGTCATGCCTTTAATTAATTGATGATTTAAACAATCATTTTTTCAAGCTAAGGTTTAAGAAATAATGTTTTTCTTTTGTAGGTGGACACAGTCTTTTGGACCCTAGTATGTCCCGTTATGTCATGGCTGTGGGCATAATGCTGTCCATGCTCCTTTTGGTGGCCATACTTGTATGCGGAGTGATTTGTATGGTTCACAGGACCCGATCTATGGCCAAGTATGAGCAGCATCTATGGAATGTGCAGGCCCATACTCCAAGTGGATATTATCCCGCCAGTACTAGTGACAACCATTTAGGATACGATTACGCAACACCTCCTCTTATGTCAAGCTGTGAGCTCATTATTACATAACCTTCTACCTTTGTTACGTAACACTTAATATCACTTGCTTTAGTAATACGCTCTTTTTTCTCTTTTTTTTTGTCAATGTTTTAATGCATCAAAAATATTTAAAAATAGGCTTATATTAAACAAAATCAGACAAGTCATCATTAATTAAAGCAAAAAAGGCTGTTCAAATCTTGTCTATTCGCCAAGTCTATTGATATTTTCAATTGATTTATTGAATCACCTGCAACTAGATTGAACGAGACTCTCAAAGTTTACCTAAAGAAGTCTTAATAATCTAGAATGAATTATGATTAGATCATTCGCCTGGTCTCGAAAGTTAAGTTGATGTGCTGATTTTTGATTAATTGTCTTTCTTTCAAGAAGTGACAAAATATTTCTAATTTGATTAAACATCATTTGTGTACTAACTTTTTCAAAAAGTATGTTTTTATGAAGAACGATATATTACTTATAAAAAGGAGGGAGGCGCAATTTTAATCTGTTTTGCTTTGAAAACTGATTTGAAAAAAAGTGGGCGCTTAGACATCTGAGCTTAAATTGAGGTGAACCGTATCTTTTCTGCCCAAAATTTTGCCGTGTGACTTCAACATGTGACTTCATTTTTCAAGCAATAAAAATATAGGCAAGCCTAATTTTCATTAGTATATGAGATTTTTTAATGCTTTTTTAGGGTGGAACGCTTTGCCTCGTTAAACACGCGAAGCGCCACCTGAGAGCAAAAATTATCGCCTAAAAACTGCAAGCAATTATGAAAAAAAACTGAGTAAGATTACTCGTATCTTGAAAATTAATTTGCGCTAAAGGCTTGAAGTTGAAAATTTTAAATTGAAGCAAAAAAAAAAAATGAAGCGTTTTGCTAGAAAAATCACGAAAATTGTTAAACGAAATGATGCAAGCAAAGGGAACTTCAAACTTCAAAGGATAATTTGAAATGAATTTTTCATCCGAAATTGTTAATTTTATTCAAAGTACTATTTTCGACATTTTTAAGTGTTTTTGAACAACTATTCAAAATTGATTATAATTTTGAAAATTTCAATTTTCCCTTTGTTTTTTCTTAATTTTACCTTCTAAGGTACTTAAATCTTTCATCGGCGGTGCAATTATTTTTTTAATGCTGTGTTATTTTTCAGCTAGATTTTCAAGTGCTAGTTTTTTTCTGTTCTGTTGAAGTTACAACTAACTTAACTGCGAAGATCCAAAACTAATTTTTATTCGTTGCTTAAACTGAGCATAAATGTTTGATCTCGTTTTTTGAGCAGTAAAATAGTATTGGCAGGCAATACATTAGTTTTTTAAGAACATACTTGTAACAAAAAATCTTACGATTTTTCCTTTTTTTCTAGCTATTCTTATCTTTAAAATATTCATATTTGCTAAAAGGGGAAAATTCTTTCTTTCGATAATTTACAAATTTCGTTTATGAAGATCTATAAGTGCTTACTTAATACTCAAAATTGATTAAAAAAGTATTAAAGTTTTTCATGTACCGCGGCTTTCCAGATTTATCAAATGATTGTAACCTCTTCTAAAAGAGCCTTGCAAACTTTTGAAAGTATTTCTATTTAAGAATTGAAGTTTGTTATGTAAAACAAGCAATCTGACCGATATATGTTTTAAAACAGGATATAAGTGAGCCATAAATTGGTAGCTTTTTTTAAAAGGGTCATTTCGTTGCAAAATAGCCTAACAAAATAAATTGAAAATCCGTTCGAAATGATTTTTGATTTAATCTAAATTAATTATTTGTTTTATTGGGCCAAAAATGACATGCCTTAGCTGATGAAAAAATTGTATATGAAATATTTCACTGAAATTTTGAGCTGCATTAATTAGTTCTTTGTAATGAATGTTAGTTCTTTGTTTCAGATAACCTGAACAACATTCAAGCGTTCGTGGAACCTAGTCTCTACGAAGATTTGTACTCGATAGCTGCCGACTTTTGTCCTAATCTACCGCCGAACTCGGTTCAAATCGGGAAGCGAATCACTGGTAGGTGTCTCTACAATTCATCTGTTCTCTAACTGATTTGTACGAGTAAAAAATCATTTACTTAAAAGTTCTCTCTGAAACACTTTTAACTCATATAATTAGACATTAAAATTTTAAAGTTACAACGTAAAAATTTTCGTAACAGCAAATTACAGATAATACCATCAATTCTTATAGGGTATCTTTAATGTGTTGTCCCAACCCAATGCAAATTTTACCATCGTGTTTTAAAGTATACACATAAAGACAAAAATTCCCGCTCCGAAAAAAAATATTTTAACCGAATTCTGATTAGAATTTGTAAAAAGAGAATAGAAAGATACTTGAAGATGAGTTGAATTTTTTTAAATGTTAACAAAAGACGTGGCGACTAGAATCTTGAGAACTTGATGTTCCATTTTGGCAAAGAAGTTCCTTTAGCGTCTGAACAAAAAGGCATTTTTATCGCTCAATGTGGGAACAATTAGCGACTAAGACTAAATTTTATTGTTCCATCAGTATAAGTTTCTCTTGAATAACATTTAACCTAATTGATTTCCCTAACCTGCTGGGTTGTAATCAAAACATTGGGAATTTGTTGCCATCGCTAGCAGGAAATTGAAGCCCCATGCATCGAACAAAATCTTTTCTCAGTTTCCTTATTTTGTTTCATTAGCTCTGCCTGTTTAATGATCTATTTGAAAGAATTAAGCAGTCGTAGTTAGCCTGTTTTTTTTTCATGTTTTTTAAACATTTTTCGTTGTTACTGCAGAAAATTTTCAAATGAAATTTGCAACTTGAAAGTAAGCAAAGACAATTTTGTCTCTGAAATCAATTCACTGGTGCCAAATTTTTCACTTAGACGGTGATTGAAAAAATAATGAAGGGAAATGGCCATTTCGAAGTCAATAGTCAAGAACAGTAACATCCTAAATTAGCTGAAAGTCTGATGTTGAGTTACTTGACTGAATGTCAATCATGATATAATATTATTTATGCTTGGACTAAAAAAAATAGTTTCGATTTAAAAAAAATCTATCAAAAATTCGACTAGAAATCTCCTTTCTTGTGAAATTTTCTGAAACCGAATCCTTGGAAAAGTTTAATTTTTGATGCATTTGCCGTTTCAGACACGACATTCGAGGGTCAAATCTTCGGAGTGGTGAGTTGTCACAACCCCACTTTGTGTGCAGTGAAGCTGGCCTCGCCAAATGCCATCGATGCCTCCACAGTTTCGATCGAAGAGAAACACTCAAAGAGGAGATTCTTGGTTGAGGCTGTCACCATGTCTCAGTTCCATCACTGTAATGTGCAGAAAATACATGGGCTCATATATTCAGGTAGGAAATACAAGTTATCTCTAATTGTACGAATATAAAAAATGTTAAAAAAATCGGGAGTAAGACAAAATTCCGACGTGGAAAAATGGAACAAAAAATTGGATAAATTACGAAGGTGATAGAAAAAATCCGAAATATGAAAAATTGCAGTAAAAAGCCAAAATGAAAATTTTGCTGCAAAAATGCGAAATATTAAGAAAAAGTAGATTCAACCATATGAAAGACTGAAAAATTTAAAATCGCTCGAAACCTTCCAAGACACTGCTACGTCCTAAAAATTGGAAAAAGTGGATTCATACAAAAACTAGGAAAATGTCATAGTTTTCTGAGTGTATGAGTTCCTAAATTGTTCGGTGCTTCCCTAAATTGCTACCAAAAAGTGCTGTGTTTGAGCTTTTCAGATATTTTTTCCAATTTTACTTGCTGTTTTTTTTTTTGCATTTTAATCTGGATTTTTTTTTCAGCTGAATCACCTTATATGGAAATGGCCACTGAATTGTGCAATCGGGGATCTCTCAAACAGTCTTTGATGGAGACGCAATATTGGGCACACAACCAGCACAGCACTGTCTTTTTCCTACTTAGAGGAATAGTCCACGGCATGGAATATCTACACGATTTGGGATACCTACACAAGGTATAAATTATTATTCTTTTCATCTCTAAATTACTAAATTAGACACAATAAAATGAAATATCATTTACAACAAAATGTCAGATTTTATATGGATTATATAAAGCCCTGAGAAAACAATGCAATTTTTAATGACAGGTTAAGCATTGAATGGAAACAATTGTATGAAAAATTGTCTATCAAAATAATTTGGCCAATAAATAATTTTGCCTGCAGCAAGCTAAGAACGTTTTCATCATTATTCTAAAAGAAAATCAAAGACAAATCTTTCTGGCCTGGAGTATTTGCCGATTCATTTACTTTTTTTAGTGATGTTAACATTTTGAACTTGTTTCATGTTTTAGGTATTAAGAGCGCAGAATGTACTGATTACACACAATAACGTGGCTAAAGTTTCCGGTTTCGACGAGCGGGCCTATCTCGAGGAGAATGATACAGCTACGGTACGTTTTTTGTTACTTTCTCACCCGAGAAATTTTAGCAATACGGACTACGATCCCGGTATTCATTCAAAAAAGCTATTAAAAATTTAAATCAAGTCGCAAATTTTTTTTCAAAGTGCAGAATATGTAAAAACATTGATTAAATTATTGAATTTTGATCGAAATGATTTGTAATTTGCGGTTATGTAAAAGCGAGGGCGCTATCTTCAATATTAGGGCGGCTCTGCGAATTCTTATCCGATAGGCACACCCATGTTTTCATAAATTTTTATCTATTTTGCCTCCAAGGGCTGAGTTTTCCATTTGGCTTTTTACACTTCCTGTGATATTATCTGATATTATTTGGAAAAGCGCCTCACTCCTCGACGCCGCTTATCTGTTTTTCAATAAATCTCAATTGATTCTCATCTTCAAGCTGATGTCACTTTACTAAGCACATAAGTTAGTAATTTTTATAAATTTGGTCAGCCACAGAGCTTTTGTGAAATGAATTTCAAAGGAGTTGAATTGAGTATAATGAATATGCTGTACCGAATGAGTTTCTTGATACCGTGATGCTGAAAAGTGAATAAATTTTTCAAAGCTATTTTTGTGCTCATTGATATAGTTAAAGCAATTTTTGAACTATTTAAATTAGTAAATGAAATAATAACTGAAGTGAATTTTATGAAGGTCCTTACGTTCACTTACGGAAGCAGCGATATGTTGTTAAGATCAATCTGTTCCTTTTTCTCAGGATGGCAAGTTTGCGGTGCATAGCCGAACCTGCCTAATCTAGAACATACTTGTGCTTCAAGAACAAACAGTCAAAATAATTCAGTTGAGTTTTTCATGGCGCAGCTCTGTAAACCACTAATCTTTTTTTGAAAACTTATTTTTTGGATAATTTTTTAAAAACTAGTCTTGGAAACTTTGGTTTTCGCTTGAGCAGATAAATTAAATCATACGGGAAGCGGAAATTGACCCACGTATCTGCAACTTAGTCGAAAGTTTGGTGATTCAAGGTTCGTAATGATGCGTGCTCGAGATATTACTTAGAATCACGATATTTTTAAGGTTAAGCAATACTTCCAAGCCCAGAAATAGTAAATAAAATAGCTTGTAGTTCTGAATCAGGCTCAACAGCGGTTCGCCTTTCCCTACGATAAGCGGCCTTTAAAGAAACAAGCATGCTCGCTTGGCAATCCAAAGATTTCCGGATCGATGCCCATTCGCTCACAATTCGTCTGAATTTAAAAAAAACACACTATCATATATATTCCTTTTTTTCTTCGAAATTCGGAACAATAAATAATGGTGGGGAGCAAAAAAAAATTGGGTACAGCGCTGTTTTTAGGCGCGACAGATCAAAGATAGATCTTTTCTTTCATTTAGGCCAGGTATTGTAACCTATCACGAAGAGTTTTTGTTTGTTGCTCCAGGCGCTGGATGAGTTAGATCTGGTGCCATGGCAGCCGGCAGAAGTGATCCAGCAGAACAAGTTCAGTGCCGCAGGAGATGTGTTCTCTTTTGGAGTTCTGTTCTGGGAAGTTCTACATGACTGCAACCAGAGACCTTACAATATGGACTCAAGCAAAGAGGTTCGTTAAGTGTCTTATGTGGCTTTTGCCCAAAAATTCATCTAAATATACATGTTTTGGCCATTATAAACCACCCCCCCCCCCCCTTGAGTATCATGAGTAATCATCAGTGTTATTTCCACAGATACATCGCCGTACTCGTCAATTGTAACATTATGTAATAGTTCAGAGATTGCAGTTCTATTAAAGAACTGTTTTTCAAAAGCGTTTGTTTTGATAATCACGATCGCTCGGAATTGTGGGAGAATGATTGGAAAGGACAGTAACAATAGTCATAAATCTAATTTTGACATCGTGGTTATTTAGGTATTTGGGTCCAATTTTGGGTAATTAAGTCAAAAAAAGTTTCCACGCGAAAAATGAAATTCTGTTTTCTTGTTTTCTAACATCTTTTTTTGTTTTAGGTCGCACTGAAAACCTGCGAAGGCAAACGTCCCCCAATCCCTGTCGAAGTTCCTCAGTGGGTTGAGAATTTGATCACGTGCTGCTGGACTGAAGACTTGATGAGGCGGCCGATGTTTTCAGTGATCAGACAGCAGATAGACGCACTAATCATGAACAACTCAATGCCTCACGCTAAATTGTCATCTCTGTCTCACGAACAAGACCCGATGAGTCAGTCGCTATACGTCAGCCCCAACCGAATCAAGTGAGTTTTAGATTGCGTTAACATAGAATTTTATAGTTAAAGCCAAATTGTTGGCAATATCGATGACCGTGAGCAATTTAATAGGTCAAAAAATATATCATTTTAGGCAAGAACTTTTTTTAAACAGTTTTTACGTGTCAAAATAAGTGAGAAACTAAAATTTGACTTCGAAATGAGCTGTTTTAGGTTAATTAATTTCGTTCAGATTCGTTGACCGAAAAGGAAACTGCCAACAATTTGGCATTAACTATAAATAAAATGAACGAAATAATCTTAACAAATAGAACCAGGAGCTATTAAAAGGCTATTTCGGGAAGAAAATAATGGTACAACACTGTTTTTGTTGTTCAAAAAATATTCTGGATAGCAATGTTTTTAACCAGTTATTAATTTATTTACCTAGCAAAACATTTTTGATGCATTTTAGATAACCCTTCAAATAAGTACCTTGTGTTTCAGTTTAATGCAACCCTCTCAGTATTACGACTTCGACGTAGCTAAGTGGCTACATAGTCTCAAACTAGAAAAACTCATCCCGGCGTTCGATAAAATGGGGATCACTTCACTTGAGCAGGTGTCAATGCTGAAAGAAACGGACTTGACCTCTATGACTAATCTGAATAGTCGCCAGAGAAAGAAACTCCTGAATAGTATTGCGCAATTCAACTTGAAGACATCTGCTTCACCCACTAATCCGATATCCTCTTTAATCATGCGGGATAAAATGGACGCATACCCGGATCATGTAGTGTGAATAATATCAAGACGATTTCGAAATTCAAACTCATTTTCATTCCTGAGCTTAATCGGCTCAATGAGAAAAAAAAAACTCGAAATCAGTTCGTTTGAAATTGAAAGAGAACTTTCGCTTGTTCATCATATTCTTTTTGTAATAATCAGTTAGTTTTTGATAGAAATTGCGACGATAAATGATGTTGTTTTTGCATGTTCACTTTTCCTTCGTTTGCTGAATTAAATTTGTATCATTTAAATGTTTTAAGCAATTTTAACTTACCATGACCCATCGTCGTATACCGGCGAAGCTGCTTCTTAAATTGTTTTCAAAAATTAATATAAAGCAGTGTTTGGAAAACTTAATGAGAATTATGGAATTATTTTTCCGACCATTTGAAAATGTTAATGTTTTTTTCCACGCAAAAATAGGTACCACAAAAAATTATTGGAATGGGCCGAGTGATATATCATTTTAAGGCCCTTTTGGTCGTGATTCGAACGGCATAAAAAATGTTCCAAATTTTTTGCCCAGTGTTGAAACAACCGGCTTAACTTTTATTCCAATTTCGAGCGAATTAGGCGATCGAGTAACGTGCGTTAAATATAAATATTAACCATTTAGATTTAAAAATTTAAAGTTCACTAAAAAGAAAAACAGTTTTGGAAACTCCATTAAGCGCTTTCATGGCCATAAAAAAATTTCATACCCACTTCATACCAATTTGGTGCAAAAATTAGAAAAGCTTCAGAAAATTTGTGTTGTTTTTTTTTTAAACAAATGTAGTATTTAATGCCTGATTCACAATTTTTTCACTTGTTCGTATTGTTCTATAATCAAACCACGCGGAAGAGACGACGCTTCTTTGAAGATTAAAAAAAATTGTAGGTCCTTACGAATCAGGTCGGAACATTCAAAGTTGTTTGGTCGTTCGGTAGTTTTTCTAAATTTATCAACTCTGATTGTGAATTTTATGATTTTTATTGAAATAAAAGCTATCGGTTTTTGTTATACAGGTCAATTGATCTCACTTTACATATTCTGAAGGAAAATCAATTTAGTATACTTTTGTATGCTTAAAGAAGGATGGATCGTAAAAGTTTTCAGTTTCAGAAATTTATAGCTCAAAATTTAATGACTGAATTTTTGTTTTCATCCTGATGAGTGTCCATCCAAATTTTGTTGGCTTAGTTGCTGCTCTGTAAAGGATTCGCAATGCATTTTCAGGCCGTCTAAAAATTATTTGAAGTGAACTTTTGAAGCTTTTCTAAATGAAATGTTTTTTTGCTTGCTGCAGAAATTTAAGTTTCAATTCAGACTGCAATTATCTACAATTAAGGTTTCAATAAAAACAACAAGCGTCCAGAAAATATATCAAATGTATATGTTTTGTTCTCCCTGGTGAAAGCGTTTTCTCCAATTTTCTTCGGTTTGTCAGTTTTATCAAATAGTTTACTCCCGTTTTAACAGGACCCCTAGTGTTTAACTGTTTTTAAGGGGCCCTAGAACATACGCTAACGCGTGTGAATTTCAATCCCAAGGTCAAAGGTTTGATTCCGGTACATTGTAGAACTTTTGTATATTATGTTTTTTCTTTCGTTTTACTCATTTTTTGACCCTTCTAGAGCTTCTTTTCTCCCTTCCCTTTTTTTGTTTTTTTTGCGAAATGCAGCTTTGATCTGGTGTTGAAATTTTAACAACGAACAAAAAGCAAAAAAAAAGCTGGCCGCTGTGAAAGTAGCACAATGTGTTCGAACTCCATTGATTTACACTTGAAAGTTCAAAAACAAAAAAATCTAAAAATCTGAAAAAAAAACATTCGAACTATCAAAAAACCTTCGAATTGAGTGATCAAACTTGTTGAAAAACTAAAAAATGAATTAACAATAGGTTTGAAGTAGAGTTAATTTAAAAGTCAGCTTTTAATCAAAAATTACTGTCAGCCTCAAGCTGGAAATTGAACAATTACTTCCATTTTTTTAAATATTTTTTTTCATATGCGTTTTATCATGATGCGTTTTATCCTGATCTAATGCGTTTTATCATGATTCCACAATTGACATTCTAAAAAATTTTTGTAATCGAAATTAAGAAAAAAGTTGCACTCAACTTTTTCATAAAAAGAACAGTTATTTATTTCTTTACGTGCCATTATGACGGTCTTTTAAAAAAATATTTAACTAAGTGACAGATTTTTTGGTCGTCCGATAATGTTATGGTTTACGCAGGAAAAAAGCTCTTACGCAGCAAGTAAAAATTCGGAGTTCGGCTTTTGATCAGTCATGAATTTCAAATGAGTCCCTTAACTTCAATGCCTTGAGCTACAACTTGAAAAACATTTTCCCTTGTGGCAACTTTTAAGTTTCAAAACTTGCAGGTTTTGAATCATTATTAATGATCAATATGTTTCGTTCTGTATTGTTCTATAATCAAACCACGCGGAAGAGACGACGCTTCTTTGAAGATTAAAAAAAATTGTAGGTCCTTACGAATCAGGTCGGAACATTCAAAGTTGTTTGGTCGTTCGGTAGTTTTTCTAAATTTATCAGCTCTGATTGTGAATTTTATGATTTTTATTGAAATAAAAGCTATCGGTTTTTGTTATACAGGTCAATTGATCTCACTTTACATATTCTGAAGGAAAATTAATTTAGTATACTTTTGTATGCTTAAAGAAGGATGGATCGTAAAAGTTTTCAGTTTCAGAAATTTATAGCTCAAAATTTAATGACTGAATTTTTGTTTTCATCCTGATGAGTGTCCATCCAAATTTTGTTGGCTTAGTTGCTGCTCTGTAAAGGATTCGCAATGCATTTTCAGGCCGTCTAAAAATTATTTGAAGTGAACTTTTGAAGCTTTTCTAAATGAAATGTTTTTTTTTGCTTGCTTCCTGAAAAATGTTTTGAATTCCGTCCCTTTTTGTATTCACTATCTTGCACTGCAACTAGCGATAGTTTCTGTTGTATCGCTAGTTGAACTTTCCCCTTTTGTCTACTGGAAAGGTGGTCTAAGATTTCTTCCTATTATTGCCGATCATCACTCGTCTTGCTATTTTGTCAATTTAGTTACTCGGATGTTTATTTTCTTGTTTGGTTTTCAATAGAAATAATTTCTGATTCTGGCTTATTTTTTTGAAAAATTATATCTAATGTTTAAATGGAAAATTTTGATTTTAAATAATTTGAACGGTTTAGGTCGTTTTTGGGAAACGTTTTCTTGACAATTTTTCTTGACAACATTTCCTGATAGCAAATTGTGTTCTTTTCGGCTCAATTGATTACCATTAATTGAACAAAAATCAGGTCGGTTTTGGCAAAAGTTTTCTTGACAACTTTTCTTGACAACATTTCCTTATAGCAAATTGTGTTCTTTCGGCTCAATTGATTACCATCAACTGAATAAAAATCAGGTCGGTTTTGGCAACAGTTTTTTAGACAATTTTTCTTGACAACATTTCTTTATAGCAAATTGTGTTCTTTTCGGCTCATTTGGCGTCGACCTTTGTGTTTTTGGCATATTAGGCACTCGGTCAAATTTTAAAATTAATTTAATGATGGTGATTGTAATACTCGTCTGTTCTACTGAAATTGGAAAATATTGTCCAATGATTGTTTTTTGCTGCGCTTGTGTTGTATCGCGAGTAATGCGCAGCTCCGCTCTGCCTTTGTGTACAAACTCAAACGATTGTTACTCTACGAGTTTATTTATTCCAAAATGAAAAGCGACTCTTAAGGATCAATTTCTATTTTCCGTTTCGTTTCAGTTAATGCATAAGATGCAGCCCTAAGAAAATTATTTGAAGCTAAAAAAGTTAATGCATGCTTTTATACTTATCCGATTTTCGATTTAATTAGTTGAGTACTTGGACTAGTACTTTTCTTTCAGGCTAATATTAACAGTTCAACTAGCCAAGCATAGCAATTGGTCTATACCATTTCAAAGATTCTCTTGCGTTTCTTTTAATTCCCTCCCATTCCATCACTTTGCGCATTTAAGGAGCTTCAAAGTTGCCAATTAGAGTCATAAAAAGGTAATATTTTTCGTTCTATGAAAGCGTATGCGACTTGCTAGTCCGGCTACAAGATCAATTTTTTTATGGAGTCAAACTAAGTTGTTTACCAATTCGGTACCAGACGACCGACAGAATTGGTAATTTTGTACTTAAGATAGCGCAAAGGGGGGGGGGGGGGGTCTGTCAAACAAAATCTTGAAAAGTCAAAAAACTTTCTAAACTATGGATTGTTCTTCATGCAAACATAAAATCAGTTGTTATAGCAAGCAAAACATCGCTTTTGCAAACTTCATCTGTGCTTTTTTGCATGCGCTTGGGATGCAATTTTTCAAAATCATTTCCTACGAGCAATGTCAGCTACCTATTAATACAGCTTGCGTCTTTTTCCAGTTTTTGTTTCCCGACTTGAGAATAAAGCTTATCGTATACTTCCATAGATTGACAGTTTATTCTCATAAAGATCCGCACAATTTCACTGACGGAAAAACTTTATAAAATCACTGTGTAAGCTAATTTCGATTCAATGAAAGTTTATGAAATGAATTTTTCATAAATTACGACACGACTGATTGTGTCAGGGTAAACCCTGAAGTGCCGACTGCCCATTAATTGATATCGAATACCTTTGGTAAATGACAAACTTTTGCTTGCTGACAAATTATGGTTTTCAGGTTGGTAATATCAAATTCTAAGCATTAAAATTTAAGTCGTGTATGGAATTTATGAAACCGATTAGCTTGCCTGGATTTGGAACGATTTTGTAGTGCAGGATAATTCGCGACGCGTAAATAACGCGCGTTACACTTTCAGCATCAAAATATGAAACGGACAGTTTAACTAGACTAGTTTCAAAAAAATATAGTTGTGTGCGTTCTCAACGTGAACTACAAAGCGCCAGGGATCAATTTAACTAGAAAAAAGTTCTTTGAATTTTGATATGAATATAAATTACCACCCCGAGCATAAATAGTCTTCACTTTTTTCAAAAATAATACCAAAATGGCTCTTTTGGTATTATTTTTTTAACCCTTGCGATAAGCAAAGGCAGTGCAATCGGGTACTAGACTTCTATCCCGTTAAGAATTTTGTTCAAAGAATGGTCAAAACTAGAAATGAGAATTTAGGTTTTGTTCATAATAAGTTCAAATTTCTTGGCGTCTCCGGCACACTTGATCTGGACGTAACGAATACGCCTGGGATGGCAAAAGTACCGGGTTTGAATCTGACAGGATTGAAAAACTCCGTTA